AGGATGTAGACACCACATCATCTCAAAGTGATGCCGTTTGGTATTTTACTGAATAAATTGAAGGTTAAATGCAAAGATAAATCCAAACCGTGTCTTTAACAACAGATGACTGCTGTGGATTGCGTCTGTTGAAAAAAAAAATTACGAGTTTTCTCTTCACCAGATAGCGCTTCATTTCATTTCATTTCAGTTCAATTTCACGGGCTTCGTGCATGGATGCACGTGTGTGTCCATGTGTGGATGTAAAGTGTGTGTGTGTGTGTGTGTGTGTGTGTGTGTGTGTGTGTGCGTGCGTGAGGGTCAAACCTGAGATACTCCAGCAGTGCAAGCCTGGATTCCGATTACAAAAGAAACCATTTCTGTGTCGGAGTTTTCAAACCCATGTAGGTAACAGCTTCCAAATGAACCCAAAGGAAGATAGATAAAGAAGAAAAATAAATAAAAAAAATAAAATGTCATCCCAAACATGCTTTAGGGATCAACACTGTATCGACAAGTCCTAGTTCTGTGTATTTAATATTTCTTTGCAGACATCTTAATGAGAAAAGTATGAACAGTGCCCCGCTAGAACATACTGTGTGGCTACACAGCTATTTAACTATCTCAGTCACACAACATGAAAGATTAGATTGAGCTGGTGTAGCTAAAAAAAAGGATCCAGAGAGTGCATGAATTATTCCATACCTGCAAGCTGCCTGATCTCCTTCATTAACATGACCGTGGCTATTTTCATGCCACTGTCCTGTGTGGGTTTTTTTTTTTATGTATCCCGACTTCAACACATCTGATTAAAATGATCGGTAGGGTGACACATAAAACATGCAGAACAGCGGCCCTGAAAAAATTTGACAAATTTGAATGTAGCTGATGTACCAACATCATACGGTGGCTAATCAAAGAACTTTATACACACACACACACACACACACACACACACACACACACACACACACACACACACACACACACACACACACACACACACACACACACACACAATAGCCTTACTAATACTTCTGTTAAAGGTAATGTAACTTGGATGAGTCATTTTTACTCCGCCGATTTTTGGTTCCTGAACATTATGATAGCGATGACATCATGTTTTCATTGCGATCTGTTGGTTAAAAAAAAAAAACAACACCCATTCATCATTCCTTACCGTTGAACACACAAGAAATATCTCCGACCGTTTTCCAACTGTTGACATTGGCGCAATCTGCTGCGAGGAAAGCTTGGCGTTCAGTCTCTAAAATAACAGAGATTGAAATAGCACACCAAGGCAAACTATTACTTTCCTGTAAATGAGAAAACTCATAAAAAAAAAAAACGCCGGGGTTCTTTCCTGCGATATAAAGCGGGCTGACACAGAGTTATTGCTCTATTGATCCATGTATTCCCATCGCCCTCAGTGGTAATAACTTCTCAAGTCACCGTGACAATAACATTTATACTATTTGTGTCAAAATGAATCGCCGGCTCCTTTCAACCGAGACTTGGGACTCGAAACTGCACAAGTGAGACCTCAATGTTTCAGCCATCTATTTTTTGTATCGCTCGCCCTCGTGAAGACTCACTTGTGAGCGAGAGCCTTTGCCTTGTAAACTCATACAATACAAATGTAATATTTAAAAGGTTCCAATAGAATTGCATCAAAGAACACAATCGTTTTTGTCTTCACGTTCCGGAAGAAAACAGTCTTCGACAAGAATATATATGATAGTGGAAGGCCACTATTGTTTGAAAGGATCAATATCACTCAAAGTCGCTAACCAGTACTTTCAACACAAACCTGCAGCAAGGTCATTTGTGCCCTCGAACCAACGACAGCAAAATATATTTCCATAATTGGATGCTGTCATTCGTCAAAATTATTTTTGCTACCCTTCCCCATAATTACACAAGTCGGTCAAGCCCGTCGATGTGACGTCCGTGCTGCGTGCCTCGAGTCGGCACTGCAATTAATTATGTTGTTGCATCACGGCGCCGTTGAGAATTTGGGTTATTTCTATCCATCCATCCGTCCGTCCGTCCATTCTCGACTACATTCTCGACTATATAATTTGTCCTCATTAGGGTCGTGGGGTGTGCTGGGGCCTATCCCAGCTGTCTTCAGGCAGTAGGCGGGGTTACACCCTGAACTGGTTGCCAGACAATCGCAGTGCTTTCTAACATTAATGCTGTCATGTTTTGATTGACGCGACACTTTTACTTTCACCTCCCATTTTTTTTCTTGAGTAGAACTAAAAGACGTCAGACTTCTTTTTTTCTACTAGGCCTGCTTTTGCTCACAAATCGGTCCAAATCTGTGTCTGTGAGTCGTATCATGTCTGCCAGTCTAATTTTAATGTGTTCGAGGGCACAAAATGACCTTGCTGCATACGACCGAGGCCGTATGTGGCCCACAATGTCAAATGAGTTTGACACCCCTGCTCTACACACATTGTTATTTGTTAAAGCTATTTCGCAAAATATAGTTGGAATGAATGTATCGGCAAAAAGCGGTCCCTTTGCATTATTAAACTCTCCATTTACTATTCGTCATATTCATATGTGCAAATATGAACTGCAGACTGATCAAGATTTTTTTTGAACTCATTATAATTTTCAAAAGCAGGGAAAATTACAGAGGGAGTAATATCGGAGCTTTTTTTTTCCTGTCATCACTACGGGGGGAAAACTAATTGTCTCATCGAATGAAAGGCGACAAGACTTAAAATACAAAAAAACACTGTCAAAGTAATTTCCCCAAGTGAGGACTATCATGCAGTCGGAAACGCTTTACAGTATCGGAATTGCCATTGCAATTTATGATAAGCTTTAAATTAAATGAGTCAGTTCTCCCAATTGAGGTTGGTTGCAAATATATATTTTAAAATCATGTATATTTAAAAAGAAAAAAAAAAGTGCACCTCATTGTTAATTCAAATTCTGGACACACGGACACCTACGATCGAGGTGGAAGGTGGTCTCCCAGTGCCCACTTCATAGCGCTGAACTGCGATCACCCTAAGCAACTTTACATAAACCACAAGGTCACTTTGCGCACGCCGATCTCCTGCGTTGACGACAACCATGTAGACCGTGTGACTCTCTCGCACCATTTCACCAAAAATTCATCGCAAACTCTCCCAGGACTTCAGCGAGAACAAGTACGTGTCTCCGTAAAGCACATCACGCCCTTCACAGATCATTAAAGAGCTCTGACCGCCGTGGCGGAATCATTATTCCAGGACCATAAAAAGAAGACTGGTCCACATATCCGTGTGAGTCAGCCTTTTCCGCCATCAATGTCATCAAATTTAAGTTCAGAACACCGACTTAGAGGTCTGATGTTTTGAAAATGTTCCAGAAAGGTGCATGCCTATGCTTGTTAAGTTGGTGGGTACAATTTTAGTTTTTCAACACTGTGACTAAAGATTACAGACATATTAAAAGACAGACGTCCAGGAATTAGACACAATCGTGATTTTTAAAGCAAATCTTTATGCGCGCGATATTTTAATGACATTGTCTAGACCTGCACGCTCTGTGCACCACCTGCTTAAATTTATCAGAGACTTTGGCAGGCTTTCTGGATAAAAGATCGACTGATCCATGCATCAGGCCATCTCCATAAAAATAGTATAACACGTCCTGGTCATTTGAACTCTACTACCGATTGTATAGAAGGCAGGAGGTATGCAATATTTCTGTATTAATGTCACATTTCCAAGTGACAACGTTTCGCACTTGAAGAGGACCAAATTATTAAAGACCGTGCAGTATGATATCAATACAATGTCAAAGTTACCATTATCCCTGTAAGGGGGGAAAGCAGAGGTGCTTAAAATGAAACGCACTCCCAAGATGAGCTTTTTTTGTCTGCTTTCAGTTTAGAAATGGATTAAAGAGCCTAATAAATTATTTTCAGAGAAAAAAAAAAGTCTAAATCCAAATATCTGCCTCTCGAACGAAGGGATCACAAATATTTATGCATATTATTTAGCATAGAATGCTGAAAACGCAGTATGCTGGCCATATAAGAACGATGAAGCAGATGCGGGTCGGCATTATCAGAAGATTGCATGTAGCCGAAATCTGTAAAAATGTCTCCTTAGCTTTCTTTTGGTATCACTCTAAATCTGCAACTACAAAACAGACATTTTTTAAACAGTTAAAGCAATACATGAACAACTTGAAATGAGTGGTTTATGCATTTATGTGCAATGCAGGAAAATTAATTATTGATGCCTGGCAGAAAAGGATTAACAATGATGCATGGATGAATGGATAATTTTTCTTTTTTTTTTTGCTGAGCTGGGGCATCTGCATTGGAGAAATGTTGCATTTTTACAACCATAGTGTGCTAAATTTACAGCAAACCAGTGGGAAGATTTCTTGAGTGGCTCAAAATGCGTACGGGATAAAACCATCCAAATGAAGATGAAAATTATCTTAACACGAAAGACAACCGAGAACGGCTGCATCTTGCAAAAAACAACACTTGAAATTTCCAGAATGCACGTGAGAAAAACAGGACTGATGAAACCACGGCTAAACTTTTTGGTCATATTTTTGGGGGCGCAAACACAACACTTGCCATCACCAAAAGAACACCAAAACTACAGTGAAGCATGATGTCGTTGTTTGGTGCAGTTTATCTTCAGCTGCAACTTGGGGCAAAACAGTGTCTGCTGGCAAGCTAGAAATACCAGGAACAACTTCAAACATCTAAACTTTATTTGGGGCTAAAAAAAAAAAAAAAAAAAAAAAAGATGCACCGTGTACATTTAACAGGAGTTTGAACACAAACCGTGCCTGGCTCATTAACCCTGTCCTGTCGTCTCCAGTGTTGTTTTGATTGTTCCTCAAAGGATGAGCCTTTCCTTTGCATAGATGAGTGTGACTCTTACGAATTGTTATAGTCGTGGTGCTGTTTTTCCCTCTGATGTGTTCGTTAGGCTGCAGTTGCAATAAATAGCACAATACAAACAATTTCAGGGGGAGTATTTCAAACTCACCAGTTGCACAGGGGCGGTGGTGCGGGGGTGCGTCCCCTTCAGTTTCATCAAGACCACGATTCGTTCTCTCGACGTTCGCCACGTAAGGCGACAAAAACCTCCGGTAAAACAGAGGAGAATTGTTTGTCTTCCTTTTGGGACAGGAATGGACGCCGCATGGGGTCATGCCTTGTGGTGCTCCAAATGACGATGCGTTTAGGTCGCACGAAAAAAGTCGTTATTTTACCATTTCATTTCTCACAAGCCAAACATAGAATTGATGATCTTTTAATCATGTAAACATCATAAATGCATATTTTGCTTTGCATTTAAAGGGCTGAGAAGGGCTGGGAGCACGCAAGTTTGACATTTTAGTGATAAATTGCTAAATTCCGACATATATTTGAATGCACCGTCACGGTGCGCTCAAACCTTACCACGCTATAAAATGTTTGCTCATCAAGATTTTTTTTTGCCTTAGCTAGATAATAGCTCGAGATTGTGTATCGACAAAAAAAGGAAAAAAATTAACGGCATTTGTTCTTACCTGAATCAAGCTATATTTATCGTGTATGTCAGATTTTTTAACGCAACATGCACTGCAGGAGAAGAAAGGTACTCATCCCCAAAAGTGTATTTTTAACCTTCTTATTCTGAATTCAACACTAGTTGCACCTTCGCTGAAATATTATTTGGATTTCAAATCGCATTTGTTGTGAAAAATATAGAATTATATCGATCATGATATATACAAGAATTAAAATGATTTTCACGTCTCCAAGCTATATTTATCGTGTATGTCAGATTTTTTAACGCAACATGCACTGCAGGAAAAGAAAGGTACTCATCCCCAATTACAAGTGTATTTTTAACCTTCTTATTCTGAATTGAACACTAGTTGCACCTTCGCTGAAATATGATTTGGATTTCAAATTACATTTGTTGTGAAAAATATAGAATGATATCGACAATGAGATATACAAGAATTAAAATGATTTTCACGTCGAATACTTACACATTGATCCTTCAGGGAAATTCACTTTTATTTTGAGTTTAACCTATCAAGGTTAAATGGTTTTATCCAGTTTTTTTCTGCAGGATCCCATTCGATTGTGCACGTGTACCTAATGTTGTGGCCGACGAGCGTAGAATTGTTTCCGACTCGCTGTTATGAGTGTTACGTCGATGACGTCAAGAGCAAAACTGCAGTGTGCCAAAGCTGCTCGCGATCTCGCAGGGCTGATCGCCGACACAGTCTGTGTGTCAACGGGAGAAGCATCTACCCACCCCAAACTTCTGCGATCGAGAGCGAGGCGCGCGGGAAGGGAGCGTTTATTTATGAAAAGCAAATTCAAAGTAGGGTGGGTGGAGAAAAAGGAGAGGATGACTAACAAGTCTTTTTTCAATTCAGCTCCGCCGACAGCCGACGAGGAACTCGTCATCACCTCTACTTTTGGGACCCTCCTGTCCGTCGTGTACGTTGTCGGGGTGTCCGGGAACGTGTACACGTTAGTGGTGATGTGTCACTCCATCCGCTTCGCAACGTCCATGTACATCTCCATCATCAACCTGGCTCTGGCGGACTTGCTCTACCTGTCCACGATCCCGTTCGTGGTGTCCACCTACTTCTTGAAGGACTGGTACTTCGGCGACGTTGGCTGCCGCGTCCTGCTCAGCCTCGACCTCCTCACCATGCATGCCAGCATCTTCACCCTCACCGTCATGTGCTCCGAGCGCTACCTGGCCGTCACGAAACCGCTGGACACGGCGCGCCGCTCCAAGAGTTATCGCAAGGCTCTGGCGTGGGGCGTGTGGCTCCTCTCCTCGCTCCTCACCGTACCCATGATGGTCATGGTGGCCCAGACCAGCGTCAAATCGCCGGACGGGAGCGTGAAGAGGATGTGCGCGCCCACATGGGCGCCCCTCGCCTACAAAGTCTACGTGACGGTTCTGTTCGGTACCAGCATCATGGCACCGGGTCTCATTATCGGTTACCTGTATGTCAAGCTGGCGCGCACCTACTTAGAGTCCCAGCGAAACTCAGTCATCAGCAAAGGCGGGAAGCGCTCGCCGAAACAAAAGGTTCTCCTCATGATCTTCACGATCGTCTTGGTGTTCTGGGCGTGTTTCCTGCCCTTTTGGATCTGGCAGCTGCTGCCGCTGTACCACAGCAAGCCGCTGAGCCTGGCCTCCAGGACGCACACCTGCATCAACTACCTGGTGGCCAGTCTCACCTACAGCAACAGTTGCATTAACCCGTTCCTCTACACGCTCCTCACCAAGAACTACAGGGAGTACCTGAAGAACAGACACAAGTACGTATGGCAAGACTCATTCATTCGAATTCCGTATCGGCTGATCCATTCATCCATTATCCAAAGCGCTTATCCTTACCCGGATTGCGGGTGCGCTGGAGTTTATGCAGGCTGTCGGTGTTGCCGGCCAATTGCAGGGCACTCGCAGACAACCAACCTTTTACACTCACAACACCTTGAGACAATATAAGAGTATCCAATCAACCTACCCTGCATGTTTTTGGAACGTGGGAGGAAACCGGAGTACCCGGAGAAAACCCACGCAGGCATGGAGAGAACATGCGAACTGGAATTGAACCCCGGACCTCTGCACTGTGAGGCGGACGTGCTTACTAGTCATTGAAATGACATTCCGTTAATCCATTCCAGCCCCCGCCCCCCCGCCATGTGCAGTTCAGGTTGTCAGACCAACTTTATTTACCGTTAACGAAATAGGTAAATTAGAAATAAATTGAAAAAAAAACTTTCTACTTCAAATATACTTTTTTAAATGTCTTCCTTTTCCACAGTTTGTGTGCCGGTATGTACACTGAGGCTGTTGTGGGTCAAATTTGAAAAAGTACCAGTCATTTATTTTTTCTCTGAAATATTGATGATTCCTTATATACCAAGTCAAGTACAACTTTATTGTCAAATGTGATGAAATTTCCTCCCTCTTAAACAGACAACATACAACAAGAGGAGCCGCTGCGGGTGCCCGCAGCCTGTATTCTGTATTGTTGTTCGAGAAGCAACGAATACATTTTGAAAAGATCTGTGGTTTTATGTGCACGTCATTCCCGGACGCCTTCATTCACAAATTTGTTGTTTTTCTGTCTCACCCTGTTGTTGTTGTTTCACAATTAACATCAACAAAAACAGGAGCTTCTACAGGTACACGTCATCGTTTAAGCGGCGGCCGCCCAGCTTGTATTCGTGCGGCAAGGCCGCGTCCTCCAGCAACCAGTTCGAGTTCACGTCTGAGACGCTCGTCATGGGGACGTTCAAGTGATGCGCTGCGGGGGGCCGCTTGGAAATGAAGTGGAGGATTTTCAGGAAGTGCAAAGAGGTAGGCGACAACCCCCTACATTAGGGTCCACAGTACACACACAAAATTGCTGTGGAATATTTTAGCAAGCCCACACTTACAGGCAAGCAAGATGGCAGCATCCATTTTTGAATAAGCAACCTAAAGATTTAGTCGGTCAGAAGACAGAGTTTCAATGTGACGTTCAATTATGATCAGATTACCAAATACTGAAGCAGACAACACTAAAACAATTGAATCGTCATTGGTCTGTGGGGAAATATGCTCAAGAAACATTCATTTTTTACTATTTTATTTACACCTCAGTGATCAACAAACAAGAACAAAACTTTGTTAGAGTTCCAAAATGCTTTGTTCTTTCCTTTCAGAGCCCTTTTTGTTTCTTTCATGGCGCTATGCTGATGTAACATCCTATTTCGGCAGCGAATAACCCATACACATTCTGTTCGAGATGTTCTTTTTGAAAGATCAACTAATGCTCCAACGCGCTTCATGTTTTATGGAGGGCTGATCTGATTTTTAATGAAAGAACCTTGTTGACTTCATTAACGTGTTATCGGCTCAAAAAGACATCTGTTCTTTCGGGCGCCACAAAGCTCGGACACAAAACAGACAGTTTTCGCTCGGGAGTCGTCGAACTTCAAATTTTACACAAAAAGCCAGAATTTGAACCGTTTTTTTTTTTTTTGGGCAGTGCAACATGCGAGGTATGGTACAGTGAAGTATTTTGTGGGTTCGCTATTTCCATAAATTCAAAAGGAATCTTATGGCTTCACTTTAGACCTGTGAATTTTGCACGCCAGCATATTTGCTTTGGTCATCCATAGAAACAGGAAGTAGCTATTATTGCGGCTATTTCATTATAAAAAAAAAAAAAGTTTTCCTTAATTTCTCATGAAATGAGTCTAAATGAAAAAAACAGGAGCACATGAGGCCACAATTTCAATTTGAATACGATTGAAATAATAGAGGAAATGCCTGAGCAGAGAGGTGTGCTCGACTAATTTTCCCATCAAACTTGATCACAAAATGGACGGTCGCACCTAATGAACTCGGTAATATGGCTTTGGGCTTTTCTGCGAGGGTCTGTTGATGGGAAAAAAAAAAAGTTCGAGCGGCGCTTGCTGATTATTTGCACACAATTGGATGTTCTAAGTTACCAAGGCAACAGTGCGTCTGCTTCACCCTTTCATTTCTTGTATACGAACATTAGATAAATGACATTTTCAAAAGCCAACGTCCAGGTTACACTTGAACTTTTTCGAGTGCGCGCACGTCAAGTGCCACAAACTCATGAATTAATTCATTGCAACCTATCCTTGAGTGCTTTGTGTACACTGAAGGAACACAGAGGTGGAAACAAAAAAAAAAACCCCCACAAAAAAAACATCCTTTTCTTCGCGACTATTGTGTTGCTTCACACTCTGGAAGGAGTATCTCGTTGCAATTTCATATCACAGCAAAAGCTGTTTTGCCAGTCAGAATCGGTTCACAAAATAGAACATCTTGGCTTGAGAGACACCTGCTGAATCTTAAAGATGTGTCGCTTAAAAATGTGAATCTTCAAAGATCTTCAAGTGCACAGATAAGCACTCACGGCATACAAATTAAAAAGCAACGTCGTGGAATTCTTTTGGGAGGAGATGCCGTACAGGGAACACTTTTTAAAAGGAATAAATGTCACAGGGACCAGAGAGCCATTCACTGTTCCAAACGAATAGACATGAGGGAAAAAATGTGCAGTCCTTATTTCCATAACTCAAAATTTATTCACCTTTTACTGTATTTCATAGTGTGCAAAAACGAATGAATGCCAACTATCATGGTTGATTAATTAACAAAGACAAAAAAGTACACAGTGGATGCCTTATTCCAATATATTTTTTTTTTGTTAACGTCCCCAAAAAATTGTTCAATGAGTGTTGTCCATGTTTTCCACACCCCCCCCCCACAAAAATGTAAAAATATTTTAAAATCAATTGAAACACAAATCCGCAGATCCCACGGGTGCCGAACTGCGGGTATGTGGGGGTCATACGTATGTACACGGTATAAAAATACCCCCAATGTGTGTGTCTTGCAGCAAAAAACAAAAGGAAAAATTACAATCTAAAAAATTACATGCAATTAAAAAAAAAAAAAAGTAATAAAACAGTAAGTTTGGCTTGAACAAAAACACTCGACTTTGCTCAGTGGCATCTTCACTTTTCCGGCGTTGGATACAATCTGCATCGGAAAATACTTCCGTCTGTCACATTTTTAAATATGCCGCGGCAAGTGCTTATCCGACAGGTACAATTTTAATATACGTGGTAGCGCGAATCGTGATTCGGCCCATAAATTAGTCGACTGATCCCAGGGCGAGGTGCGGATGCAGTTCAATGAGCTTTAAGGCAGGAGCTGGGCCAATAAGGGACCTGTGATAGACAGGAACGTGGCTAGAAAGCGTAAGCGCTCCTGGCAAAGAGGAGCTCCTCTCCTGAGTACTGTTCTCCCATGTTGCTTGTTGTAGCTGCTTGTCAGCTCTTCATTAAATATTAAAATCACACACAGTCTCTCAAACACACACTGTTGATAGCGAGGCAATTGATTGGCATCCTGATGAAGTCCACCTCGAATGATCAAGGACTGATATGGAAACGTGTGCAGAATCGAAACATCCTTAACACCTGAACGAATCTGAATTGGATTAAAAAAAAAAAAATGTCCAATGAAAGGAATTTAAATACCTCTGTAGAGATGGTGGAAATTGATTTTTTTTTTTTTTTTTTGCAGTGGCACACTCAAAAAGCCTGTTAACAAGACAGACTGTACAATAAGATCAAAGGAACCCGGCAACAAATTCACCCTTCTTTCCTCTCATCCTTCTTCACCCTTTTACCTCCACAGGGCTTGACTGAGACGGATGGCCGTGATGTCCACCCCCCCCCACCCCATCGCCCATGGCTGCCTCAAGGCAAAGCAGGGTCGGCGATGGCTTGTGTGGGGTCGCACGTAAAGGACACCGTGATGGCATATCGGGTACCCCAAGTCACCTTCTCCACACGGTGGAGGTTCTCAGAGCCGGAGGAAAAATAAGACACTCGACCTGGGGGGCAAGGAGAATGATGGGAGGGTGGGAGGGGAGAGACAGAGAAAGAGGAAAAAAATACAATGGGGTAAAATATTTTTAATTTTGACAGTTTAGGAAGGAAAGTTAATGGCTTCATTTTTTTTTTTTTTTTAATGGATGCAGCGGGGATATTCTTAACCATATTCAAAATCGAACAGAGGCTACAACCCCCACCACCTGTGCAGCTTGATCATGAGTGTGCTGTAGGCAACAGGCCTGAAGGCGTTCGAGATGCCTTCGGTCATTCGGTTCAAATGTCAGTTTCCTCCCCAAGTTTCACAAGGGAAACATGAATCCCTCATCTGGAACGAATCCCCGAAATATGAACTTGAGCCTCATTGAAGACTTTCAAACTGCCCATTGGTGTGGATGGCAGTGTAAAAAGTTGTTGGTTTTTTTCGCCGCCTTTTTGAATCTCGGGTCACAAATATAACGGCAAGTAATATCAAAAGTGGATAGAAACAGATGGGATTGACGTTTTTAACACACACACACACACACACACACACACACACACACACACACAAAAATCAGTCATGAATCACAATATATGACAAAAGCACTTTGGATAAAACACATTGGAATGATTGTCAAATCGACTCGTCGGTCTGCACACATCTTTTGCCATGCTGGCACGACTTCATTTTGACTTTTGCATCCAATTCATTGTTATTTATCATGAAAAAATATATTTGTAAAATTCCTTGAACTTGACTTCAGGGGAAAAAAAAAAAAAAAAATCCAGAAATTTGCCTGAATTTCCTGTGCAACCCTTGTAACTATTGTTCCAAAGAAGGCCATGCACATTTTCACTGGAGCTACACAAAAGACAGCAACAAACAGCTAAAAAAAAAAAAGGAAACTTCGCTGGCTATTCATTTGCTGTGGCTGCCTGTTTTTTATTTTATTTGCGTGAGCATGGTCAGGTTCGCATCCTTTATGGGAGACGTCTTTGCTTGAGCGAACTTGTCAATGACCTATTGCCATTTATCTGTCAATCTTATTTTTTTCCCCCCTAACAAGGAAAATCCTCCAGTGTTGCAGTTGTCTTCTGTGCGCAGCGACGAATGACTTGGGAGATTGAACACAACATCCGCTTGATTGGCATTCCAACTTTTTGGTGTGAATCTGAACTAATAAACCCGTTTGTGGGAATTGCAGTTATTGGAGTGCTTGTCTTGTTTGCGCACTCACTCCGAGGTACGGCTTATTAATATTTTCCTAATTCTATTCGTAGTGAAGATAACTTTCTCCGAATTGAATGAAAGCGTCGTGTAAAATCAGTGACAAAAATGTCTATTTTGCCTAACGTGCGCTGAGAACCAATTAGTTTAATGCTGATGAAAATGAGGCTGAATTAGCTGCAAAGAGCACGACAATAGAATAATCTCTGAGAAGAAAAAAATGTGCGACTTCCGCTGTCACGCTGCTCGCTCAAACAATTGGCAGATACAGTTTATTCCGCTCGAAAGATTAGCGCTGACAATGGCGAGCAATTGTAAAAGGGGGGCGGATCATACTGACACGTGACCGTGCGGCACACACTCAGTCCAAACTTTGTTTTATTGTAACGTCACGTGCCAAAGTCTTTCAGCACACTCTATAGAAAATCCGGAATAATTGTGTGATCTGCATGCGAAGCCCAAATCCAACGCACAGCTCTCTCGGGTGTGCTTTGAATTCATATGAAAGAAACAATTTTTTTTTTGGCGCCCGGAATGAAATTAGGACCCCATACAGTGTTTTAGAGATAACAATCTATCCAATCAAATCACGCGTTCCCATCCCAGATATCAGGTGTGCCTCCACTTAAGCGTTGAGAGTTGACTCAGCAAGAAGAAATTAATTCACGGAGGTTTTTTTTTTTTTTTTTTTTTTTTTTTTAATGGCTTAGCTTGGCTTCAATGGCTTTGCTGCTTCAGTGTCCCACAATATTTGGGTAAGGATATTAGTTCGGGGCCATTGGAAGTGTAGTGGTTCACAAAGATGACCTTCAATCAGTTCACGTGGGATCAATTTAGCTTCGGCATCCCATTCACAATCATTTGGATGGAGACCGGCATTAAATCCAGGGTGCGGTGTGCCTTTCACCTTGAATCAGCCAGAATAGTTTCCGGCCTCTGGTATTACCCCTCACAGGCGATGCAGGACGGAAAATATGACCAGAGACATTTGCAAGCATGTTAACACTTAATGATATGCGAAAACTAACTTCATTTCAAAAAAAAAAAAAAAGAACTAAATACCACAGAGCTAAGCACTTGCCAGGAAGAAAGAAAAAAAAAAGTGACTTCAAGCTATTCCACTTGACCCGTACTTTGCGTTTGGCCTCTGAGCAGTCCAATTGACATGGTGGGCGATTGAAACAATCGATAAGCTATTTTGCCGTGATTGGTGCCTTTTGGTTGACGTCTCTCGGCAGACGGAGACGATGTACAAACAATCAATGCAATCGCTCCTCCCAGCAGTTTGAGGCAGAAATGGCCCAGCATGAGGGTGGGCCAGATGTTCTATGGAGAGAGATTTTTCTCGGGGGTCTTTCACAATGGGATCTTTATAGTTGTAATCTGGCGTGCCGCAGCACAGCCCCCGCCGCGTGTGTACATTTGACTGTACAGTCAGCAAAGTGGGAAAGTGGGCTTTTTCTACTTTCAAGGTCCTCTGAGCGCTTTTCACTCTTTATTGACCAAATGATGACATAGCATCAGGAGCGACTGACTGGCTGTTCAAGTATTTTCAAATCAATGTACCCACCGCAATCCTCTTGCATTGCCTATTAAGATGCCATTGCTGGAAGCATGTCGATGTTTGCGAGGTTTTGGAATCATGCTTCGTCAGAAATTTGCCTGAATGTCATTATTTGACACACGACCTAAAGCCTGTTTTAAAAAAAAAAATAAAATAAAATAAAAAACCTGGTGCAAAGTAATTCCAATAAATGTGGCATTGAAATCGTTATCTCGCAATCTTTGCGAGGGAATGCAAAGTTGTTGTTTTTTTTTTCCTTCCATGTCCCATTAGGGGCTCCGTAAGTTTCCCACATTCCAAAGTTGGACGCTGAGTCATTCGGATTATTTCCTCTCCATTTGGGAAACTTTCTTGAAAAACCCAACTCATGCCCGCCCCCAAAAACTCTTTAGCTTGAACACGAGGCACTTCTTTCCCCCATGGGGCTTACATGTCATGATTAGTATCTTACTTTTTTTTTTTTCCTTCTCCCGCAAGCCTGATTGTTGCCTTGGAGTTTTGATTATCTTAGTCATAGCAAAGAGACATGATTATCTCGGGGGAAACTAATCACCCGTTCGAATCAACCTCCTGCAAAGTCAAAGCAACGTGACAGTCGACCGCGACGCATCATCAAGGAGGTGAAGTTGTGATTTTGGGGCGGGGGTTAAATAAATAAAATAGCGAGGCTACCGGATGCATAATGTGCGCGAGGCGTTTTGTGACGTCTCGAAATAAAAGCGTCAGACAAAAGGCACTGGATTATTTGACAACTTCTTTCGTGCGATTCCAAATGGGTTTGTTTAACTCTGCGGAGAATTCAAAAGCAGGCAAGAGGACTTTTAAAGAGACAGGTGTCATATATTTTTTTTTTTTGTTTGTTTGAAGCATCCCTCCTGTTCTACATCAAGCATGCGTCGCAAAGTTTGGGATCGGCGTGTCCTAGTTCTTTATTAGTATTCTCACCTCATTGATGAAAGCTACGACAGTGTCATGTCGTCATCATTCTTCAATTTTGGAAACGAGCAACAAAATGTCTCCTTCAGCATGCTCAAAAATCATCTCTTTCTCTCCAAAGAATCCCTTTTGTTTTTTTTTTTGTTTTTTTTTTGGGAACACTTTAGGGCCACATATTCTGAAACCAATGAGGTCCGGGAAATATTTTCGCAAAGAAAAAAAAAAAAAGAATTCATGACACAGAGGTACCATTAAACATTTGTAAGACTCAAAATTAGGAATTTGTAACACTTTCCACCGCAGAGGCAATAACTTGCCCCCTGTCTTAAATTACAATTTGAGCGAGTAAAACTTTCATGTACGTTTGTCAAGCACCACTTGCATGCTTCATTCATCCTTACTCATAGATGCTCTTTACTCTTGACCTGCTGCCCAAAGATGCACACAGCTCCTGTTTCTAATCTTCGAAGCATGAAGGGTACCTTTTCAACTTTATGCACTCGATCAAGTGATTCAAACGTAAAACCTGGTGAACCGCACTTTGGTTTTATAGCCAATGAAGACCGCTTCAAGGGGATCAAATGATGGACCGGGAAAGAGACCATTCCTCCGGGTAGCGGTGATGTCTCAAGTGTTGCTTGATACAAAAAGCTACCTTCAAGACACATTATCCTTCCCGAGGGAATGAGCAGTAAAGCTTTCAAACGACAATGGAGGGGAGAAGAAATAAATAGACCGGGTTGAAATTAACTCATCGCTATTGGTACAATTGATGGGGCCATACCCGTGGCAAGGTGACATTTTCAGAAAACTTTTTCCAGGGGGCGGTAGGCAGGCTCTCGTTTGGAAATGGACTCAGACGTTACCCAAATTGTGTGAAAAACGGTCATTTATCACTAATTCATTCATGATGAAAGTAAAACGGATATATTTCAAGGGGGTTGAAGTGGACTCCAGAAACTCAAAGAAGTGGTTAGGGTTTGGGTGCACAATGGATTATTTTTTTCCCCGTTAATTCTGTAGAAGTAAATAATGTCGTGCAGACATGTTATTTACCCGCCTTTGGTTCCACTGTCTTATTGCCATTTTGGTCCATGAAGACAAATCTTCCTCCAGTGAAGTCAGAGCCATAGTCAGAAAGGTACAGGAGGGATGTGTAGTCAAATGAGCCATACGTGACCTGGGGGGAGTGAAAACAAATTATAGTTACACAATTTGAACGATTAGGAGCAAAATACCACCATATCGGGACAGTCTGGAGCCCTGGACAGGCACGATTAATCGAGTTTCACGTTACTGTTTATCTTTCCTTGCTATGTACCAAATGCATTTTTTAACTCTGTCAAAATACAATTTGTGCGGTGACACAGTAATTGCCGCAGGATCGACGGGAAGGAAATTTGCTATCAAAAATGCCAAAGGCCATTAATATTTTCATGAGGGTGGGGGGGGGAGCCAATACGACTCCCCCCACCTACCACAAAACGCCTGCAGAGACACACAGCGCAGGGAGACAAATCATTCCCTGTTCAGTTCTTTCAGCCGCCGACATCCAGCGGGAGTAAATGAGATGGCAAGTATTTATCTGACTGCACAAAACCAATATGACACAGATAATATGCTCAAGGACAATGCAAAATGAAACGGGTCCATATTTTTTTAAAAAAAGCATGATGCAATTCACGCTCATCTCGCTGTGTTTCAGTTTTCTCGGACGTACAGTATTATTATGAGGTGTGATGCCAATACATACAATTTGCTTCCCAATGTATCTTTTTAAAATAAGATTCAGAACTCTCTAGTTAAAAATATGTTCTCTGCAGTATGGTACACTGTCAACATTAACAAAGGCTTTATTATTATTTTTTATACATAAAGTAAGTGAACCTGTGCAGTTTTGAGAAGTAATTGCAAAGGTATTGGTTCTGGGAAATAAATTTGACAAATTAGAATCAGGTAAAGAGCATAAAATCTAAAAATAGCAGGGCACAGCCCGTTTTATGACAGCAGAGGGGGGCCAACTCCTGCCAACAAGTGTGTTTGCGGGTCATAAGAAATGTCTCAATGCTCTCGGTGTACTCCGTGCCAATGTCGTTGGCAACGTTAACAACACACATCGACCATCGATCACGAAATACCTTATCAATGTGCGGGTGCCAGTACTCGTCATGTTGCGTCTTCGCTATTGTCGAGTTGATCCTGGAGAAGAAGGTGGGCTTGGTGAGGTACATCAGGGTTTGGTCTAACCCAAACGTCTCTGCGATAACTGTTTGGATTCGCTTGCGAACATCTCTGAGGATGAAAATAAAGATGATATATGTTAAGGCGGCGCGGGCAAAAGTTGGTGTCTACAGTTTAGCATGGAAGGCTAAATGAGAAGTAATAACGCTTAGTATGGTAAGTTTATCACCTCTCCTATAATTTGAACTGAATTATACATTCCCCAAAAATACATCAAACTTGTAACAATTCGTGTTTGCAACTTTCCGGTGTGAGTAAGCCATGAGACCAACGTCTCGTGGCAATGGGACGAAAGGTGGGGGGGAGTGAGGCTATGTCCTAATGTTGCCCGTAGCTTGAACACTGGAAATTCAACCTGTAAGACGATCAATGAGTTCTTTGTCTTTCTGCTTGCCGACATTCGTTGTGCTCGCCTTTGTCTCAGGAATTATTCATGTCGACTTGATGAACTTATTAAACTATAACAAATTTGCCAGTGTCGCTGTCAAATAAAAGCCCACTTTCTTTCAAATGACGGCGAAATGTTTCAACCTGTAGAGTTGGAAATCCTCTTGTGTGAACACGTCTTGGATCTGTTCCCCAAAATATCTGGAATCACACACACAAGTCCAGGAAGAGATCACAAAAAAAAAAAAACAATGCACCCTTGGTAAATGTTACATATTACGCAAGACGTTCCAGCAGTGTAATACAAGGGAAAAAAAAAACACTAGGAGCAGAATCTTACGACAGCAAGAGTGTCCCACCTGTAAATGTTGACAAATTGTGGCCCCATTGACAACGCTCCTGAGTGCAGGTCCAAGATAGACGCCTTAGAAAGTCAAAACCAAACAACAGTGAGCATTGGAAATTTTCAGCAGGTGCATGGCACAGTCAAAAATGGTCTCCTCTGCCCTTTACCACTTAATGTCAACTCCATTGGGACTTTGGTGGACTTTGGAAATAATCCAGAAATGCTGAATGTAGAGAAAACGGCTAAGAAAAACTTCTATGGACATACTTGGGTCAAATCGTATTCTGCAAGCAGGTTATGTGCAATTTCAAAATGTCTTCCAAGACAATCATTCAAGCAATGAGAGAAAAAAAAATTAATAGAGTGTTGACTGCGCAATAATTAAAGTTTGTCCGAGCTTTATTGGGCAATATACTCACGCCTCCCTCGGATCCAGCCAGCTGAAGTCCCCTCTCAGCCAGCCTGAGTCAAAGACAGTCATAAAAGTGATTTACTTGCCCCATCAAGGAAGTAAAAGTAAATGGCAAGAAAAATAAAACCAACTTGAGAAAAAGAAGTCAGACAGATTGTTTTCTCTGACGGTATTCACCTCTTGAGGGCCTGAGCTTCCTCCCGGGTCACCACGCCGTCCGCGACAGCACGGCCGCACTTCTGAGGAGTGCATCCTGATCAAGGAGAAAAACACAACGAGGAAGTGGAAAATAATTGGAGCTGAATGACGTGCTATTAAATCCCCCACGAAAATTGATGGACGGAAAAGAAAACCTTGGCTTGCTACGGATACGAAAGTGCAGCAGGCCAACAAATAATTCAGAAATTTGGGGGAAAATCAGTCTTTTGGTTTGCTTCAGCCAAAATGGCAAAAGGGTCATTTTAGGTAGGTAATAGGGATCATCACTACTTCCCGAGGAGCAAAAAAAAAAAAAAAAAAAAATTGTGCAGATGAATTTGTTTGATGAGGTCAACCACAAACCCAGTACCAATTTAAAGCACTTTTTACATTATTCCCATGGCTATATTTCTGCACATTGCACCAAAAGGCATCTTAAATTTCATAGTTGATATCACTGAGGGTTGACTCCTCTTAGAATGGCCAGCAGACGCATGAGGTGCAGGAAAACAAGTCATTCGTAAAATTATAATACCAATGCTGAACATGATGGAGGGGGAGGAGGCACAAGTGGGAGTTTTGTGTTCCAGTTATTCAAGGTTAATTTTGGAACGGGTCGAAGCCAAGGTGAGAAGACATCTCCTGGCAAGTCAATGACAACACCAGAGCAGGTGCCCAAGTGAAACAGCTGCAAAATTAGACAGAGTGTGAAAGACAGTTGGTGTGGCTTTTTTTTTTTAACACTCGTTAATCACACTTCAGGCATAGAGCATCGAACCAAGGTAGGGCGACATCAGTACTGCGGTAAAGTCAATCGTTGACACTTTAAGAAAGCTGCTGCCCTCTAGTGGACAAATGATTCAACAGCATTCCCAAAATGATCTTGTTTTATTTTATTCTTGGGCTGTTTTCCGAAAAAACACAGGCCATTTTGGCACATATCGTCTTGGCAAAGGGCTATTCGATTCGTGTTTGCAGCGACACGTCGCCGTCTGTTGTGTTATTTCGTTTTAGTTTGTGTGTGGATGGGTAAGGCATTGGACAATCACATATTTTTACAAAGCGCAATGCAAATTTCAGAGTCGTAATCAGTTTAACTTCATTCCATTCCAGTCCTGGCTCACAGTGCTCCAGTGATGTCAAAGCGAAAGCCTCACCTGGGTAGCGTTTGTAGTTCTCATAGTCTTCTGAGCACTGAATGAAGTAGACTCTGGGCTCGGGAGACACGTTTTCACGCTGGCTGACCAATGTTTCTGTTATGTCACTATCCAATGTGACATAGAGCCAAGTAGCTGACCCACACATACATAGGATAACCAGCAACAAAGTGGTTAAACCTCTGGAAGTCCACCAGGCTGTGCCCTGCCGCAGTGCATTACCCCTGATGAAGGGGAGAATCAAAAATCAGACATAAAAGCCATTAAAGTAACGATTTTTAAACTTGAAACTTGAAACATTTCATGTCCAATTCGGAATGCACTTTTTGTGTGTGATATTTTGTATCAACATCATGTTGACACAAAATACCGTCATATTTTGTATTTACTGTAAAATGGTTACATTGTACTTCCTTAAGTAAACGGGCGAGGCATTTTATGAGGGGGAAAAACATTTGAGATTTTAATACTGTATTTGTTACCTAAAAAAGCAACAAGAATACGTTTTAAGTAAAATATCAGATCCGTGTATCGTTCATCGGCCAGCATGACAAGGTGTGTTAAAACGTCTGTTGTGCATAATTGACTTCTTTTTATTTTAATTAAAAAAAAGTTGCACTGGACATTACGAGGTCATTCAACTATGTGTTTATGTTTCAGACTTCGTCTGGAAAGAAGTCTCTTTCAACGTTTACTCAAGCCGAAATCAGTTCACTGGCTCACCTTTTGATTTTCCTCCCGATCTCTGTTGAATTCAAGCCTTTCGCATTTCGCTGTCGTACCGGCGCCATTAAAATTCTCGCCTGCCGTGCAGCTTTCTCAAAACGCAGTCATGCACGCTTGTGGTCGTTGTCTGTTAAACTATATTACACACAACAGACCGCGCCACGAGCAACCAAATCTTTTTTTTAATTTTATTTCCGGGTTAGCACGTGTCCGACATCATGATTGGCCAGAATAAAGAGAAAGCGACTGTTTCATTGGACAACGCGTGGCCCCGGATGAAATGGACGTCACAGATTTATGCGGATATGTTGCAACTCAATACAGTTTATAGTTCTTTATCGGATATGCTGTGCGTAACAGTAAAACTTGACATACTTATCCTTGCTTTCGTGCGTACTACGGAGCTTCAAGGTGATTTGTCCAGACTAGCATACTTTAGTAATCGCTCTGGTAAGTGATCATTCACAAACGCGAAAAAACACCAAACCTTCAGTTCTGTTTATTTTATTTATTTTTCTAATCGATACAGCAGTACCAACATTGCTGCACGAATCAGCATGAATAATCCACCATGGCCGAACGGGAAGAAAGTTGTTCACTTGGATCTGAAAGGTGCCCCTCCGAAAGTGGAATACATTTTCCAGGTAATATACCCCATGCAATAATGTACTCTGTGTAACACCGTTATTAGATTTGCCCTTTCATCTCATCCTGCAGTTGATAGAATGCTTCTCTCGGCTTGGTGCCGATGGCCTGCTCGTGGAATATGAGGATATGTTTCCATATGAGGGAGAGCTGAAGCTACTGCAGGCCACATCACAACCTGCATACAGGTTCGACCGGATGAAGCAAATTTTTTGATCTGAATGTATTTTACTTGAATTTTTCCTCAGTATTACTGTGGGTGCCTCGCTGTGTTTTCAGCCGTGATCAGATATTAGCCATACAGAAAGTTGCGAAATCTAAGGGCATGGAGATCATACCACTTGTGCAGACCTTTGGCCATTTGGAGGTATGGCTGACGTTGTATTGTTGTAATACGGACTGTACATAATTTGCTTCAGAGTCCATGTTTTTCTCCATGCGGTAGTTTGTGTTGAAGCATCGGCCCATGTGGAGCCTGAGAGAAGTGTCAAACTGCGTTGGCACCCTCAATCCCCATAAGGAAGAAGGATTTAAGCTTGTGATGGAGATGCTGAGGCAGGTGGTGGAGCTGCATCCCGGTCTAAACGCACTACATATCGGCGCGGACGAGGTAATGTAAACAACACATCATTTTTTCTTCAGTTTTGGCAATGATCTCATAGTCATACCTTTAATTTCAGGTGTACATGTTGGGTGAGGGGGAGCTGTCAAAACTATGGTTGGCTTCATCTGGACGCACCGTGGAACAACTTTTCTTAAGTCACGTTGCATCCATTGTAAAATACATCAAGAAAGAATGGCCTCATATGACCATCATCATGTGGGATGATATGATGAGGGGTATGAGTCAGGACACGTTGAAAGGTTTGTAGGAATTTGCACCTGCATGTTGACATTCTTTTACAAAAAAAAAAAAAAAAAAAAAATTGTATGTTTACAGTGCATGATTTTTCCTTCTCTCTACTTGAGAAGAAAAAAAAATCACCGACAGTATATATTTATTGTATCAAATCTTAAAGTCGAAAAAAATGAATGTTTCACACATCTGTATCTGTTTTTTACTGTCCTCGACACAGCTAGTGGTATTGTCGGATTCGTCCAACCAATGCTGTGGGATTACACCCCAAATCTGGATGTGGACAAAACGGGTATGAATTGTAATCTTGCTATTTTATATCTCAACAATATTGCTATTGTGACTATTTTTAGTCCTTCAGAACATGATATTCTTTCTCAATGATGGATCTACAATTGTCTTGATTAGTATCGTTGCTGGAGAAGTACTACAGTGCTGGTATGCAAGACATGTGGGCGGCCAGTTCCTTTAAAGGTTCCACCAGTGTTTACACCAACGTACCCAGCACACAGAGACATGTCGATAACCATTTGCAATGGTTAAAAGTGGTTGGATCTGTGTCCCCCGTCTTAAACATGAGGGGTATTGCCATCACAGGCTGGCAAAGGTGAGATCATTTTTTTTTCCCCCTCGCCACATGACATTTATGGCAATAGGACCTCACGGCACAAAAATGCACTCGTGTTTTCTGAATGTCAGGTATGACCACCTCTCGGTGTTGTGTGAGCTCATGCCTGTGGGTCTTCCGTCACTCGCGGCATGTCTCCAAACACTCATCCATGGCCAGTTTAGTCCCGAGGCTAAAAACAAAGCGTCTGAAATGTTGGGTGTCTCCTCCGTGGAGGTAGAGACCATGGGAAGGTGAGGCCTTGAACTTTTGTTTGAATCAAATGCATTTATGTTGATTGCGATTTCACTTTTGGTCTCATATCGTGTTTTTAGTACATTGGATGATGCCACCCTGTTCCCGGGAAGGAGACTAGCAGAGTCGATTGTGGAACTGGATTCGATTCTATGCAATGAGGATATAAGGTCTTTCGAAAAAAATATGTGAGTTGATTGGGAAGGGATGTGGGCGGCGCAGTACCCGAGCGATTGGTTACATACAACTGAAGTCTGTATGTGACCCCAGATACGTACGCGGCTGGTTCAGTCCCTACCACAGATCAAGAAGGATGGCAAACCCTTTTATCACCGGGCAGATTCAGAGTCAAGCATCCATGTGAGCAAACGTGTCATGTTACACCGAAGACACTTTTGAAACGTGTTCCGATCACTAATAGTGTTTGATCTTGACTCCTGAAGGTATTTGGCTCTGTTACAACAGAAGGCGGATGTTGTAAGAGAGGAGATGTGTCATCTTTATCCAGATTCAACAGCTCAAGAATGGATAGATGAACACGTTAGCCCAGTGACGGCCCCGCTTTGGAGGATTCTAGATGAAATCGCCGCATGCGCAACGGAGATAGTTCCATAAAATTATTTTCTGTCCGATGGCTGTTTTTTTTTTTTTTTTTTTGTACATGATGTCCATTTTAATAAAGACAATATACAAGCACAGTTTTTTTTTTTAAATACAAAACGCAAGTCCACAAAGCGTGAATATAAAAATGGTAACACAAATCTAATCCAACACTAGAAAAAGAATAAAAAATAAAAAAGATTTTCAAGTGGTCGTAAGTAACTTGTTTGGATTTCAATCCCATCCTGATTGAGAATCTACTGATGGACAAAAATACACACATCTTTGGTTCACTAAAAACCAGCCGCAGTCAGGCTAAATTCAAACAATTTACTTTTGGCGACTACTGCTCATATAAGAAGTCATCCTGATTGAGAGGTGTGTGTCTGTGTGTGCGAACAACCAAAATGTGTGTGGTCCAATAAACTGCAGAGTCCTTTCAGTTTCATGATACATACCAATGTTCAGTAGGAAGGCACAGTAAATCGGTAATCTGGAGTACTGTCTTATCGTAATTAGATCATTACACTGTTTCTGAATGAAAGGGGGAAAAAAAGTCATCATATTTCCAAAGTACAATACGGTAAAAGAATATTTTCCGAAAAGCCCCCGACTTAAATTCTGCATATTAAAAAAAAAAAAAAACGCATGTCCGTAAGATTTGTAACTGGGCATACCATGCGATGAAAGAATCATACTAATCCCAGCCACTATTGCGCTTTAGCAGTGGCACCATCCCAAAATGTAATCTTAAAAAATGATGTTATGTAGAAATCAAAGTTTTCCTTCTTCACCCTCGGAATCACTGCTGTCATCCAAAAAATCTGATACCTCTTCTGCGTGTGCAGTCATTTCTCTCTGCTCTCGCCGCTCCTCCAATCCCAAAAAGCGCTTGAGCAATGCAGCGATAGCCTCCACGTCGCTGACGAGTATCACATAGGGAAAAGAGTAGAGCATTAAATTAGATCTTCTCGTACTTTGATGCAACTTTTCACTATTGTTTCTCATAACAACAACATAATTGCGTTAATTCAACTTGTGTTAATTCAAGATCCTAAACCTTGATCTTTGAGGTTACGTGTCTATTGTTTGTCATTGACGAGTAGCCGCTCTTGGGTGTACTCCGCCTCTTACCCAATATGTATGACCTGACGGGTGTTCAATGTAAGAGGTATAATGTATGAGAGTGTTTCAAGTAAGGACCTACCTTCGCCCCCCAATTGTGGCACTCTGGGTCAGTGGGTAGGAGAAACCCGTAGCCAGACGCAACATCACGAGGTAGCCTTTCCCCAAATATCGGACCTTTTCTTCTTGGACACAGACATCATGCAGGTGCCTCAAGTCCAAAACAACTTGAGAGTAAAGAAAGGAAAAATATTGAGTTTGGATTTGTAGTTGTGCACTTGAAGTGGACAACTAAACCTCTCTGCCATTACTTACCTTTCTCTTGCCCCCTTTTGCATAGCGTCAGAATTAAAGCGTACAAGCTAATGGTCTTGAGTTGAATCACATTGTTAGTTTTGTCAAACATTGCCTCCTCCCATTCTTCCATGTTCTGAATGGCCACAAATAGACAGCCGGTGACATAGAAAAGCTTCCACAAGATGCTATCTGTGTAGAAAACATGTAAAATAAGGCATAAGTCAAATATTTATATACTGTATCTGTCAGCCAATGCTGTAAAACTGAGATTGCAAACCGGAGCTGTAGTAGGCAGCCGCCAACCCAATGGATGCCATACCTGAAGAAAAAGGAGGCATGATTAGAATTATGCTATTTCTTTACTGACAAAACATTTATTTCACTTCACTATACAAATATGAAAAATATGTACCGATACAAAGAGACCAGGAACGGATGCCAGGGCTTCTCTTCAGGTGCAGCATTGTAGAGCTTTGCTCCTCTACTGCCATGTATCCCATCTAAACAGAGAGCACTAGATGCAGTATATTGTTGCTAAAATTCATAAGACAGATTTTACAATATACATACTTTGTTATTCTGACAATACGTGTACATAAATGCAGTAAGCATAATGCAAAAAAGCAGACTACAGTACTGTACTATCACATCCATGCTGACAGGTTTTTAGTAAGTCAACAAGATGCTGCGGGCTCAAAAATGCCGGATAGCTTACCTTGTATAAATCGATGTAAGTGGCCTTTCTACAAATATTTTAAAAAGAGAAGTTGTGTGATTTTACCGGTGATGAATATAAGGAAGTTCGACTCGTGTTTTTGTGGCCGACACTTTCTTCCTGGATGGGGGTGTGGGCTGATTGGACGGAGTCGCTTCCGCTGGAATTTAAAAATAAAAGCGATTCCGAAGAAAATTGCACACAACTTCATAAATACAAAAAAAAGAAAAAACTCGAAAATTGTACTGTATATATGTAATATGTGAAATAAAATGCCTAATTTTTGATTGAACATTTTGTTGTTCTTTGTACTTGTGTTTTGTCACTTTAAAAAATTTACTCATGGTTTCTTGCGATCATTATTTCAATACTGTAATGGTGGAAGGATAATATTTTATGAACAAAGTAATTTATTTTTAATGTGGCATCTCGTTTTCACACTTCCGGGCCGGGCTATGCGTTGTGCGCATGCGCCACTGTTGTGAACTGTACACATAACCGGGTACGACAATGGAGTTGAATGTTCATAGATAGGAATGGATTGGGATTGAGAAACGCCGATTCCTTTAAAACAGTTATGAAATAACGTCCTCGAACTACGTGGGGAGTCTCGGCGATCGCTAATATACGGACTTTTCCCTTCACATTCTAGTGGCAGTATTCAGTCACAGTGCTGGTGGATTTGTTGAGCTCCCTTTGCTATTGCTGCAGCTGGACCTTCTTCAATTGTGCTATGCGTCTCCGTTTTTTTCTGGCGCTTTTGCTTTTAACAGAGTCTGAACCCGAGCTTTGCCATATATACACCCCCAGGTGAGTTTCTTAAATCTCACTTTACTCTCCTTCAGCCGTTCTCTTAAATTACACACACGGTGATCAGTCTGCGTTGTATTTGAACGTTATGCGAGACTGAAACTACTGTGCAGTATTTGATTTTGAGGCTTTCTTTGTAGTGCGTGTGCAATTCTAAATCATTTAACAAATTAATTTCGGCATACTTCTGCAGTGCTTGTGATAAGCGGGCTGCTTGTGATAGAACGTTGGCCTGGTCTGAGGAGGGTGGAGGCAAGTTAAACAAAAACAGACACTGTGGTCATTCCTCATAATAAACATGCTTTTTTTTCACGGAGTATTCCACGTGGGAATGATTAGAAATTGCTGTCGTCTGAATTCACCATTCTGTACTGACAGATAACTGGTTAACAAAATGTCTGAGGTCAGCATCGGGAGGCGCAAGGAAAAGTGTGAAAACTGCACCAAGCAGGTAATTTCTCTCGGATTTTTTCTTCTACATTTAAAAAGCTTTTATCGTATAATTCTAAATCTTGATTAATTGCTCGACACACAGTGTAGCAAGAAACAGAGCGATGGTGAAGTTAGCTCACACCAAGAGGGAGAGCAAGTCAACGGACAGGTAAAGTGTGATTTCTAAGTCGTTAAATTGAAAACACCCTGGGTTGTTGATGATGACTTAAAATATTTTTTTCTTTGTTCCATCAGGAGAATGAGGGATCGCAGTTGTTGCTGAGTGCTTGTCTATCCTGCGATGGCTGTCTGTCTGAGGAGGAGAGCCTGAAAATATCTCAACAGAACTTGGAGGAGATGGAGCGGGTTTTGGCTCTTAACAAGGTACGCTCCAAATATTCGTACCTCGATCAGCTTTGCATTTTTTGTGCACTTTGTGTAAGAAATTTCTCTTTCCTTGTCAGAAGTGTGATGTGACAAAGCACAGGGTTCTGGTGGCATCAGTTTGTCCACAATCGCTGCCGTTTTTCGCCGTCAAGTTTGGCGTGGATATCGTTGAGGCCGCCGGTAAACTTTGCGGTTTTCTCAAAAGCCTGGGTGAGCTATCTACCAACTAGACATTTGCAAGGACATGTACATGATGAATATATTCAAATTGTATGGAGAAATAGATTTCACTTACCTTGTTTTTGTATAGTATTCCCTTTAGCATAGCTCCATCTAGTGGATGCATAAGGCAACCACAGCCACTATTAAGCTTCTATTCTATGCGCCTTATAATGCGGTGCGCTCTATCGATGAACACAGTTTTTAAAAAGGTTGTTTATTTTAGCTAACTCGTCTCTCCCTTGTATCCCCTTTCTTCCTCAATTATTCTCTTCTCCACGCAGGAGTGCAGTTTGTGTTTGATACCACTCTGGCAGCAGGTTTTAGCATCATAGAGAGTCAAAAGGAGTTTATTCAGAGGTATCGCAGGAAGCACCATGACTCCCACGCACTGCCCATGTTCACCTCCTCCTGCCCTGGTAAAACTCTTCTCCACCTCCATTCATGGTCCACGGTGAACCATGGCTCTGAAAATAATTTGATTTTGATTTGCTTTTTCTCTCTCCGGGTGTGAGTTCTTATGCATCTGCAATATACAGGCGCACCTAAACTAACTTGAACGTCATGGGGAAAATTATTTCTTATTTTTTACTGCAATGGTGGTTCAATTAAAACGGTGATACATGCGAAAATATTGCTTTTTTAAAAATCATTTTTTATATTTATGGCTTACAACAAGTGGTGGGAAATGAAATACCCAGTCAAAAACAATTTGATATTATCTAAGAAACTATCAAAATGATTTTAATTTTACCAAAAAAAAAGAAAAAGTATTTTCCTGTGTTTAAAATGAATCTGTGTACCGGTAATATACAAATGTCACTTCTCCAATTAAACTATTGACGGCAACTTTTCTACGAGATTCAAATTAATTGCGATGCAACTTTTTTTTTTTTTTAGCGAGACAGATAAGAGTGCAGTGCTGGTGGTGATAGATAGAGAGCCAGTCTTTCACCACTCCCTTCTTCAGCATCAGGGAGAATAAGAGCTTTGGAGCATTCATTCCCTTGTTCAACTTTAGACAGGTTAAGTCAGAGCATTTGGAATGGAGCTGCGCTTGTACTGAAACCACCCTATAAAATAACAAATAAAATCTTCATGACTTCGGCGTTGTGCCCTTTTGTACTGAACTGCAGGCTGGATTCGCTATTCGGAGCGTATCCTCGGGAGTTTGGTCACACCTCACATCTGCACAGCAAGGTCTCCGCAGCAAATTATGGGCTGTCTCGTCAAAGACTACTTCTCTAAACAGCAGGTGAATGAGCGCAATGATAATAATATAATGAGGACAAAATAATTGAATCTGACGAATCGCTCCCTATGTGCCAACAGAAGCTAAATGCGGACAAAGTGTACCACATGGTGGTGGCTCCCTGCTTTGACAAAAAACTGGAGGCTGTCCGAGAAGAGTTTTACAACAGTCTGCTGGAGAGCAGGGATGTGGACTGTGTCCTCACCTCAGGTTTCAATACCTCCTTATCTGTTACGCAGGCCGGCGCAAGCCAAATAAAACACCAGTTGCTGTTAGAGTATTGTTTTTGTTCCAGAGGTCATGTTGACCATTGCGTTTGGGTTGTCACACAACAACCAAGACACATGGACTGTTGTTTATTGTCCCGCAAATACCACAAATCACCCCCAACGGTCCTTTCCTTCCCTTGATACTCAGCGGGATGTTTCATCATTTTATTTTTGTGAAAGATAGTAGAGTTGGGAACATTTTTGTAGATCTAGTATTATATCTAATTTTGAGAGATTCGTTTGTGCATTCAAATTCAGTCATAGGATATTTTGCGTCATGTTCCAGGGGAAATTTACTACCTGATGCAACAGAAGAAGGTGTCTGCAGAGGATATGGACTCTTTTCCGTTGGACCATGTGTGAGTCGTTGGCCGCTCCGTTTTTAGTTTTGTTTTTGGTGTGGGGGGGTGGGGGTGGCAGAATCCTTTCATCTCCAAAACAATCCGTTTCCTGCAAACCAAAGAAAACAGCATGATTTTTGTGCCATTAACATTGCATCGTCAAAGACAGCGAGCCATTTTCAACACTTTATGGTTGGTCAATAATTTGTAAGATATACCACATTCTCACGTGGGAACTGATCAATCGTATTGATTTTGAAAAGAAATATGAACTTGACCCACTTTGGATGTAGGAGGTTTTCGGCACAACGCCAGGGAATACAAATGCTTTTCAGAAGGCCCAGTACTTGTCAAACTTTGACAAGTACTGGGCCTTGTCAAGTATGTGTGGTTTTATGGCAAAGAAAATTAGCAATTGTTTTTTCACACACAAACCTGAATGCAGCTGTCGGAGACCAGCAGCAGGGACGTGCCGTGTATTCATCAGGTCAAGAAGTCAAGTTGAGTCTGTTATCCTGAAACACAAGCAGAAAGTGTCCCATTGAAGAGTCCTCATCCTCCACCCTAATGACAATAAGCGTTATAGAAAATGAATGGAGGAGGAAATAAAATCTCACTTTCAAAATTGCTTTTGCAGTCTTGGAGAAGCTGGAGACACGGCCCTGGTTCGCCACGAAGGGCGCGGTTCCGATGGTTTTCTCGAACATGTGTTCAAGTATGCTGCCAAGGAGCTATTTGGCCTGGACGTCCACGAGATCACGTACAAGACCCTCAGGTGAGCTACGACGCCACAAGTGAGGACTCCGCTTTCATTCCACGCCAAAACACACAAAAGTTATTCCGTTTGTTTTGTAGGAACCGTGACTTTCAGGAGGTGACGCTAGAGCGAGACGGCGAAACGCTGCTGCAGTTTGCGGCCGTTTACGGTTTCAGGAACATCCAGACTTTGGTGCACCGCATGAGGAAGGGAAGAGTGCCTTACCAACTGGTGGAGGTGCTGTCCTGTCCAGGAGGTAACAATGCAACTGGGATAAAATGCCAGTTATCCTCAAACTCCATTTTCGTTTCAAAACCGAAGTATTATTTCCCCTTGGAAATAATGTCAATCCAAATAATCTGTCCCAAACGCCCAAAAAAACGCATTTGAAAGGGACTAACTACCAATGGTGGCTTCTTGAGCAGTCACACTCAATAAAAAAAGCAAATGTCTTAACATGCTTCAATGAATATGTGAGGTATACTTAAATTTGGCTGACAAAATATAAAATTAACACAAATACAGACAAAAGAAACACTAAGACGTGGCATGTCGAAGTAATAAACTAAATTTAAGCCCAGCTCTCTTTTTCCTTGTCATTATTTTTGTATTGGATTAAAAAAATAAACCACAAAATAATCAATCACCTTTTTTTTTTTCCTTGCCATTGGAAAACGGAAGGAAACAAAGATCATGAAACACTCCCTTTATGTTTCTCCTTCAGGGTGCTTGAGTGGCCGCGGTCAAGCCGAGAATGAGACAGGGGGGCGCGTCGATAAACAACTGCTCCAGCAGATGGAGGAGGTCTACAGCAGCCTGCCTGTCGCTCTCCCGGAGGTCAACCCGACTCTGCAGACGCTTTATCAAGACTGGCTTCAGGGCCAGGATTCCCAGCCGACCTGCAAGTTACTACACACCCAGTACAAGAATCAGAGTCAGAGCCCTTTACAGACACCACACATGCAGTGGTGAGAATGAGGGAACATGAAAACATGTTTGGGACCCAGTTCTTGTTTGGATAAATTAAGGACCATCCAATACCTTTGAGCAAGTCAAGAGCCGGACTCAGCAGATGCAGTTCTTTCATTTGTCCACTGGAATGTATATGCTTTGGAAACAAGGGACAAGTTCAAAACAAAAAGACTTTAGTCCACATAAGGATCTGGAAAGTGAGGTAGCGAATGTGGTCTAATTGTGGCCAAACAATAAGACAACTAAAACAACATGAAGCACCGTGGAAACCAATGAGCTGATGTTGTGGATACCGAAGGCACACCAAAACTTTTTAACCAACTCAGTCAGTCCAAAATGACGCTTAACATGTATATTTGTTGTCTTTGCAGAAAACATACAGCAGCAGTGTTAGAAGGATTACTATGCAACAGTTTGATGACCCCATTCTGCCAGTACTATGACAAGTATCTTTTTATTTTTTGAGCACTTAAAAAAAAAAAAGGTCACATAGGTGAGCGTTTTTTGTTATTTTCAATTAATTCTCAACTCTACACTGGCGTTCTCATAATGCAGTTTGGTTAAACCCCAAGTTAGTCATACCTTTGCCAAATTATTTGTTCGTGTTTTTTTTTTTTAATGTGATGAATATGTATATTTTATCTGGAAATAATTCAAGAAAATGAAGAATTTGCAGCATATGCGCCGAGTAGTTGAAAGATAGGAGATGTGTGTGCGATACGCATTTCCTTTGTAAACCTCATACCTCCATTTAAGCGTTGGCGTGAGAGTCGAGTTGGTTTGTCTTTCTGGTTGCTTGGTCCAAGCCGACACGCAGCCGTCGTTGCAAAGATGAAAGCTCACTGGTGGAGCTTTGTGCTTGGATTTCTCTGTCTTCCCTCTGAGGTGAACACCTGGTCAGGTGAGGAAAAGCAAACATGTTTCGGGTTGTTGAGCCAAAAAGTGAGATATTAATTTTCCAACAAGTTACAGATTTATTTTCATTCAGCATGAATTTAAATAACATTACCTCTCAAATTTCTTCATTCATTGCGGACTGTATTTGACTTCAGATGGTTGTTGTGTTGTGGTTTTGGGTCATTCTTTTCCTAGTCGAGCACAAATAAGATTAATTGATGTCTACACCGGATGCTTGAATAAATGATGACCTCTTCCAAAATGCAGTAAAATCCATTGTGATTTTCTGAGGGGGAATAACAGTCACCCAGTTTTGGGAATTGTCTAATTGTTGCCTAAACTTCTAGTTTAAAAATAAATCATACAATTAAAAATGAATCTCTCTCTAGCGGTTTTACAGGATCCTTCACACACATCAGTCGCAAGTCTCGACTCCTCTGAGATAACATGTTCCACCACGTTATCCGATCCAGTGGGAGTGTATCTCAACAGACCTCTCCACGGCCAAAGAAATGTGCTGTACCTGTCCTTGCACAAAGGTTCTTTAACCAAGAACACCACAGCTGCGGAATTCGAGGGTCGAATTCATATAATCCCTTTCCGCCACATGATAAAAGGCCTTGGCTTCACAATCAAGGTTTCTCCACTGCAGCGAGAAGACACTGGCTTGTATTACTGCAAATGGGTCTTCTTCAGATTGGATGATTACACAGAGCAAAACCTTGTCAGCAATGAGACCCTTCTCATTTTCAGAGGTACAGTACCAAGAGTTTGAAAAACAATTATTAGTTCGTTGATTGAAGTTAACAAATCCAACACTTTTCCCCTCGCAGACGTCAAACAATGCAGCAATGTTTTGGATACCACATTGATTGTTTTAACTGTAACAGTATTAACTGTTACAGTGGGAGCAGGAGCAGTGATGATTAAATACAGATACAAAGTAAGTCGAATTCTGATCATGTGTTTTGGTTGTTTGCATTATGATAATGCAGTTTCAACTGGATGTTTTCTCTTTATGTTCCTGCAGTTTAAAAAGCACTTCAGACCTAGGAGGAGTTCAAGAGTAACGGCAACTAACAGGATACATCATCAACCGCAACCCAGGCAGCAAAATTATCCATATATTGAAAATGCTGGAGACTTCAGATTCATAAGTTATTTTTGAAGCCTTTGGGGAACAGGCACTCAAGGTTAGCAGTAGGTCATTCTGCATCTTGCACAAAGAAGCATGCTCTGCAAATGTGTCAACACATTTCTTTGACTTCCTTCTGTTTTGCAGTCCTGAACACGTTTAAGCTACCACATCCTGACTTATATATCTGATACGTGTGATATTTTAACACGTGATTTACCAGGGCAAGCATTATTTTCTTATTCTACTCAAATAAGTGTAACAGCAGACCACATTTAATAAAAAATGTTGAGATCTTGCTGGTGAACCCCAAATTTATTGGAAGATATTTATAAATTAAACTAGAAAAGAAAGAGAAGCATCCTGACGTACATATCACAATGATTATTTAATCATGAATGTGTGTTATCAATGTTAAAAAGTTGTGCATCTGACAGTACAGCACACACACACACACACACACACACATATATATATATATAAAACATAAAATATACCATTTCCCAAATTAATTTCATGTGTGCATTAATCTAAAAATTTATTTCACGCTTAAAATGAACAGTCTGATCATTCAAAAGAAAACTGATAAGTACGACTTAAAAAAATCGTAATTTAATTAATCAACATTCGACCGTAAATATTTTGCATTTAAATGAATATTTACAATTTTAATTGAGAATTTTTTATGTATTACTTAGTATTCATTACTTTGTAGAATCAACGTACACGCGGGACCGCTAACTCAAGAAGAGTTTAAAATATTTTTCCTCAAATGTTTTCGTTTTCATTGTAATTTGTAATTTTCATTGTAATATTTCATTAAAATCATCCTTGGGGGAACGTTTGCCCTTGTATTTATTTTTCTGTCGGACTGCTTTTGGTGGTACACCATGCAGACCGATGAAATAACAAGATGCTGCTTTCATAATGCGACCAAGTTAATAAATGTTTCGTTAAAACGTTGTGTCACTGCACAGTGTCTTCATCGGTAACCAGGTCTAGTGGAGGAAACCGAGCAATATTTTTTTTTCTTTTTTTGGGGGGATCTTGGCTTTTGCTCTCGGTTCCCATCATTTGGGACTGCTATGAGGACCTGCTGACTTGGAACACTTGTTCTGCAGTCACACCATTTAGCTCTCGACAGGAACATCCAAGATGCCTGCCTTTAAAAAGCTGTTTAGCGGCGTCACATTGTGGACGTGGAGAAGAAGTAGATGGATAAATCGACGCGGTGAGTCACTTTTATTCTAGAACTGCACATGATGAAAAATATTTCGCTCTGTAAAGTAAGCGCATGAAACGTCAAAGTTGATCATTAGCTTTCAAGCTCGACTGATGTCCATTTCTGAGCATTTTGTTAACTATAAAGTGTGACAAGGCATTTATTTTTTATTGCCGATAGGAGATGCAGCATTTTCCTCATGCAGGCCAAAGGTGTGTGTTGTTGGCAGTGGCCCAGCAGGATTCTACACAGCACAGCACTTGATCAAAGTAAATACAGTAATACACTTGACGTCACACGTGCAAAATCGCAAACGCTCTCAGAATAAATTTACCAGACATGTCATTTGAGAAAGCAGCAAGGTAAATGTCTTGACTTGTGATTTTAGCCCATGTCTACCACCCAGTTTGAATGTGTTAAGTGTCAGTCGGAAAGATATCGGTGGGGCACACTTTTTGTTACTGTTTTCAGTTGATCAAATGAAACATTTAAGCATCACAAATCTGATGGCAAGTATGGCCTAATACTTTTTTAAAAAAGTCATTGTATGATTCGATGTTTAATTTTCCTGCCAGGGCCGTCAAGATGTTGAGGTGGACATTTACGAGCAACTACCCGTTCCTTTTGGCCTTGTCAGATTCGGTGTTGCTCCTGATCATCCAGAAGTGAAGGTAAAGAAAATGATACATTGCAGATTATTGGCCCAATTTGTCTGTGACACGATTTGGTCAAAACGCACCTCAAGGATAGCCCAACATATTTCTGGGCCGGGCCAATGGCAAGTCTGGATTTTGTTGCCGTGACGGCCTGGGGCAGCTTCAACAGTTATCAGAAGCTGAAATGTTAGGTCACGCTAATCTGTGCGTCCAACAAAATCATTGCAGCTCCGCTTAACTTTTGGCTTTGACACAATAGCAGGGCTCGTTGAGTTAAAAATGGCTATCCCAAAAGTCTGCTACATTAGTTAGAATGAAGCAGGTTATGTGTACGAGAAACATGAACGCTGATTTATCGCTTTCTATTTTTCCTCAGAACGTCATCAACACATTCACACAGACAGCCAAACATGCACGCTGTAATTTCTACGGAAACGTGAACGTCGGCAAGGATGTGAGCGTTCAAGAGCTTCAACAGGCGTACCATGCAGTAATACTAGTAAGGAGCTTACGTTTCAAACTAGCTTTGAGCAAGTGTGCTTTTCGTTAACGTCTCGTGTATGTTATCTTAGAGTTACGGCGCAGAGGGAAACAGGAGGATGGGGATACCTGGAGAAGATTTGGCCGGTGTGTACTCCGCCAAAGATTTTGTGGGCTGGTACAATGGCCTCCCAAGCTGTCGAGAGGTACGTCTCTTCATAAAGCTCCTTTCCTCTCCTTCTGTATCCTCAGGTATCAATTTGTAAGCCATTTTCTTCTCCCATTCAGCTCAGCCCCGACCTGAATTGTGACACAGCAGTCATTTTGGGACAGGGAAATGTGGCTTTGGACATCGCACGAATATTATTGTCACCTACTGACATTTTAAAGGTACGTGGATGGCTCGGATTGCATTCGTGTTGACCGTATGATGAGATGTGAAGGCACTTATTTGGCCACAAATTCTACTGCTCCATGATAAGCACCCGATTAAGTTACCAACAATAGTTTGTCCCCCAGTTTTCTTGTTGTTGACAGAAATGTCAAAACTGTTCATCTGCAGAAGACCGACATCACTCATCCTGCCCTCGAAGCTTTGACGGAGAGCAAGGTCCGCAGGGTGCTGATCGTCGGCAGGAGAGGACCCATGCAGGTTGCGTGCACAATCAAGGTGTGTGAGTATCATATCACAATGGCAACAACTGAGGATGACTTTTTTTTTTTTTTAAATAATATGAATCAAGTCACTACCCATGTATGCTGTAAGGTCACCATCGAGAAAGATGTCACCTTAAATGTCGGGAGTTGGAACTGTCATAATGTCCTCTATGACATCATGCAAAATTTCAGCATACTTCACAAGCTGTTGGTAAAAAGGCTTCCGATGTTTTTTCTTTTTTTTTTTTTTGGGCGAAAACACCTTAGCGAAAAATGGACTCCAGTGTCACCATACATGGCACTTTGTTTCTTTTTAACAATTAACCAAGGTTCAGCTCTCTTTAAATGTCCGTCACAAGTCATACTTATCGGAAAATAGGTTAAACACATACCGATTTTCAACATCTTAACCAATTTTTTTTTTAGAATATGAGAGACCCGGCAGATGGGGAAGAAAAATAAATAAATACCTGATTAATGCTCATACAGTCTGTCGCAGTGCCAACTTTGACCTGTGAGGGGCAGCATGTCGCCAGAAGACATCTTGACTGCCAGAAAATAGAAATAAGAAGAAAAAAAAATCGTCATAGTCAAAGAAATATAAGAAGCTCGATTCAATTCATCCTGCGTATTTTATGATCATGAATACAGGAGCTTCGAGAAATGGTGAAGCTACCAGGCACCAGACCCGAGCTGGTGCAAGCTGATTTTGAGGGCGTCGCTCAGGCTCTTCCAGGTGAGAAGACATCGAAAAAATTTCAAGGACTCAATTTCTGCTTTATTTACTTATTTTTATTATACAGATTCGCTTGCTCCTTTCATTATGCTCTATTTCAGGGGTTACTTTTTTTTTTCGATACTTGCTCAGTCAATAAATTTGATTGGCGATGTCAATGCCATATTAATTTCACTATGTTTTTTTTCCTAGTGGGTATATTTGTTTACACATTGTTTAAAGACTTGCCTCTAAACCTTCAGCAATAAAGGCAGCCAGTCTTGTATTCTGCGTTCTTTCTTGTTTATATAAGAAAGAGAAGTTGTTTACCACAGGTGTCCTCGTTTCCACTGACCTTGCCAGAGAAATAACAACAGGGCTGATGGATGGTGTGTGGGTTGGTCTGATAATTTGCACAACTTGCACACACCACGGCAGGAAATTAAGATCTGTTGGTGTGATTCGCACCCCACTCAACTTTAACACGTGTAAATACATTGCATTTGTTTTCCTGCTGTGGCTTGTATTAATGATGTGCAACATTGTTTTTTTATTTAATGCACAATCCAAATGTGCAAATGACATGAACCACTCATTTTGTACCCCTTAGTCTGCTATTTACTATCACCTAACATGCGTGCTTCTGGGATGTATCCGCACATAAACATTGACATTTCAAAGGCCATTTTTTGATATTTTGCAAGACAAAGTGATGATGGCCAAAAGAAGTGTCAGCACATGTGCCTTTGCTGTTTCAGACTTACCCAGACCGAGAAAACGTCTCACGGAGTTGATGTTCAAGGCAGCCGTCGAGCCCCCGGCAAAGGACGAACAGGAAAGAAGAAGCAAAGCCTCACGTAGTTGGGGACTTCGATTCTTCCGGAGCCCTGCCATGGTTCTTCCCAATCCCGACGGCACCAAGGCAGCCGCCATCCGACTGGCAGTCAACAAACTGGAGGTCGATTTTGACACATTAGGTGCTAAATGAAACATGTTGAATTTGACTTTGTCTGCCTGCATGTCAACAGGGTTCAGGTGAGGCTGCTCGTGCGGTGCTCACTGACGAGGTAGAGGATGTGACCTGTGGCCTTGTCATTAGCAGCATTGGCTACAAGAGCCTCCTCATTGACTCATCGGTGCCGTTCGACTCTGGCAAAGCGATAGTCCCGAACCAAATGGGCCGTGTTCAACAAGCGCCAGGTACCTACAAAAAAAAAAAAAAAGCACCAATCAAACCAAAATCCAATATAAGGAAATATTTATCTGCACTGTTTCTTCATTCTAGGTCTTTATTGTAGCGGGTGGCTTAAGACAGGCCCAACAGGTGTGATCGCCACCACCATGAATAATAGTTTTGACACTGCGCGATCCCTAATGGAAGACTTGGATTCAGGGAACTTGGACATGTCTGCTGCTAAGTCTGGGGCACAACATATTAGAACTCTACTTGAGGAAAGAGGTACCTGCATTGATTTCATAGTTGTGATACAAGATGAAAACCGATTTTTTTTAATCTGCCTTGCCTTACTAATTAATTGCTCCAAGTGCATTGTTTTGTCGTTTCCAAAGGAGTGAAGCCTGTGACCTTCTCGGATTGGGAAAAGATTGACAGTGTGGAGGTGAAGAGGGGTGAATCAACTGGAAAACCCAGAGAAAAACTGCTGACTGTGGAGAATATGCTTCAGGTGGCATGGGCTTGATCATCATGGACAATTTCTCAATAAAAATGTGGGTGTGGGGCGTGGGGTACATTTTGAAGAAGCCAACCACATCAGATACAGGAAATGTGTATTATGACAATATCATGCATTAAATGAATTTGAATCTGATCCCACGATCTACAGTGTTTATCTATATAAAATATTACAATTGTCTTCATTGTGACTAATGTATATCTGTAAACAATTTGATCTTTAAAAAAAACTACATGAAAATAATCAAAGTTTAACGCACATGGCACCACAATAAAATATTTTCATTTTATTACTATCTCAGTGTACTTTTTAAAATTTAAACTATTTGCAACATACACCCGATTGTTGTGGTTTAAAGTCAGTAATACAGTACTGTATAGTCAAAAATAGAATTCTGTAACGTCGTACACCAGTAGATGGCAGTAATACGTCAAGATGCCAGAAATGGCCAAAGAAGAAGAAACTACGGCGTCTCCAACCACGCTAGTGTGCTAAAGAGTGATTCAAAGCTGTGATACATTTTATGTTTTAGTGACAAAAAAAAAATATTACCGCTTTTAAGTAAAAAGTAATACGAGGTTACCACACAGTCAGTTACTTTGGCCATTTCATTTTACAGGTATAGCTCGCAAATCGGAAGTGTTTCGCACTGTCTGAATTCAACAAGCTGCACAGCTAACAATACAACGTTCAGGTATTCGTTCATTTTAGAATTGTTTTTGTGCATGAAAAAAAGCGCACTAATTCCACTAAACAGTTTATTGTTTTCTAAACAGTGTTTGTTTTAAGTCAGTTAGCTTTTCGTCACGTCCGTTTTCGGCCCCTGAATTCGTCTGTGGCAGAAGATGTATCGACCCAAACCAACATTGAAAGATCGGCAGCATCTGTATAAACTCATCATAAGCCAGCTGCTCTACGATGGATACACCAACATTGCCAACAGTTTAGTCAATGAAGTCAAACCTCCAAATGTGGTGTCACCATCTGAACAGCTTGTACAGCTGGTAAAAATTGGTAAGCTTTAGATATGTGTTTATTGTAGTAATAAATCATTTGTATGCATATGAGCTAATTACCAACTATCCCGTTTGTGTCACAGGTATGGAGAACGATGACAGTGCTGTGCAGTATGCTATTGGGCGCTCTGATACAGTAGCGCCTGGTGTGGGAATTGATCTAGAATTTGACGCTGATGTCCAGACAATGTCTCCAGAAGCATCTGAGTATGAGACGTGCTATGTTACCTCTCATAAGGGACCCTGTCGCGTGGCGACATATAGTCGGGATGGCCAGCTCATCGCCACAGGCTCCGCTGATGCTTCGATTAAGATCCTGGACACTGAACGTATGCTGGCCAAGAGCGCGATGCCAATTGAGGTAAGACAGGTCGCACAAGTTGGTCTGTGTTAAGAAAGTTGAAACAATTATTCATATGTATATTTTGGACAGATTATGATGAATGAGACAGCTCAGCAAAACATGGAAAATCACCCAGTGATTCGAACACTGTACGACCACGTCGATGAAGTCACCTGTCTGGCCTTCCACCCAACTGAACAGATCCTTGCGTCCGGCTCAAGGGATTACACCCTCAAACTTTTTGACTACTCAAAGCCATCTGCAAAACGAGCATTTAAATATGTACAGGTCAGATATTGCACACAAGGATATTGTCTGTTATTTTTGCATGCCTCCAATTTGGTGAATTAAAATCATTCTCCCCTTTAGGAGGCAGAAATGCTGCGTTCAATCTCTTTTCATCCATCTGGAGATTTCCTTATAGTTGGGACACAGCACCCAACCCTGCGTCTTTATGACGTCAACACCTTTCAGTGTTTTGTGTCCTGCAATCCTGTGGACCAGCACACAGACACGATCAGCGGCGTGAGTTACAACCCGACGGCCAACAGCTACGTCAGCTGCAGCAAGGACGGCAGCATTAAACTGTGGGATGGTGTCTCCAATCGCTGCGTGACCACCTTTGACAAAGCTCACGATGGAGCAGAGGTCTGCTCAGCCATCTTTACCAAAAATTCCAAGTACATCCTTTCCAGCGGGAAAGATTCAGTGGTAAAATTGTGGGAAATATCAACAGGCCGAATGCTGGTGAAATATACAGGTGAAGTTGACACTTGGTCTTCCTTTCTTTCCTTGCATGTGTTGATCGCAAGTCATATTTTGTAAATGCTAAAAACTTGCCTCAGGGGAGAAGGTGCATTAATCACATTTCCCCCACCCCTTTTTTTCTATTACATTTTGGGGAGGCGAAACATCTCTAATGTGGTTGCCGTTGCAGGCGCGGGTCTGAGCGGCCGTCAGATGCATCGTACGCAGGGTGTTTTCAACCACACAGAGGACTATGTTCTCCTACCTGATGAGCGAACCATCAGCCTGTGCTGCTGGGATTCGCGTACAGCGGAAAGGAAAAACCTGCTGTCTCTGGGTCACAACAACATCGTCCGCTGCATCGTCCACTCGCCCACCAATCCCGGTTTCATGACTTGCAGCGATGACTTCAGGGCCCGTTTCTGGTACCGGCGCACCACCACAGATTGATCTCTCCTGCCGCATCATTTGAGGGACGAGGGACTCCACATCCAGAACTTTTTGGGGAAACCAATTTTTTAATTTTTTTTTTTTGTGGAATCTTTAAATTGGATTAGTTAGAATTTTTTTTTCTTGCTTCAGTACAGTTTGCAGATGTATTTTCGTTTTTTTTTTTTTGTACGAGGACATTGCAGTTTCTTTGTATAGATGAAAATAAAAACTAACAATAACTGTGGTTCTTTTAGACACTGCACCACTCCCAAGCTACTTAGTAAGAGACAACAAATACTAGTTAGTATGAGACATATTGGGAAGGTCTGGTTGTGTACGCTAACAGGTTTATATCGTGAGCTGAGCTCATTCATGTGTGATTGTCATCTGTAGGTAATATACAATCATAATACATCATAAATGACTATTGCAATTTAAAAAAAATAAAATCCGTCTTGTTTAGGAGAGTAATTCAATCGGTTTTGATGAGCCATGGCACCTGTCTTACATTATATCACAGCAAATAAAAATATAAAGTATGAGTATTGAAATAATGATCACAGATTAATCACAAATTTGTGAACTCCGCCTGTATTTTAGTTGAACATAAATTTGATACATTTGCAGAAAGCCATGACGTTTTGTGCAGTAGCTGCATAGCCGGATTTCTCTTACTTTACCTTCTGCCATGCAATGAATTGTATGAACCATAAAGCCAGCACAAAATCATGACGGCTTATACACGCTCTCTATTTGAACAACATGCCAAAATGAGCAAAGGAAATTCATCCAACCATTTTATACACTCAATATTGTCACAGAATCATTTTTAAGACAGTCAAAATAATTGTGTCCAGGCACGCCGTGAGGTGGAGTGAGTGATGATTTTCAAGGCCCACGATTGACAGTGGCCCAAGAAAATAGTATGTTCAATTGGGAGCACTGAAGAGGTCAGGCACAAATGGATTTTTTTTTCCTCCACAGCTTGCCAAATATCTAGTGGCGAATATAGGTGTAGTACTACTCTCAAATCAGAATAGGGAGCCCAGAATTGGTGTTTTTATAAAACAGGAGTCCTTCATAATAAAATTCCTTTGGTATATCAAGGTTGAAACCACAATCCAAATAAATATTGGAATGCGTATCTTGAACACTTACCTCTGCATTTGTCAAGTCACGCAAGTCCCTTGGAGGACTGGATTCTTGACCAGTGGTGGAATACAATCTTGTGGAGGTGGGGGCAGTGTTATCTGAGCACCCCATGCAGAATAAAACAAATTCTTAAATGCCCAATTATATCAGATACAATTCAAGGTTGTGTACCGAGCAGATTAGAATTTTAGTGGGTGATGCGCACAGCACTCAGCTTTGAAATGACTAACAGATTTTCGGAAATAGTTTCCCACAAACCTGTATATTTTTAGTGTACACATTGCTATTTAAAAAAAAATACAGTAGATAATGTCAAGTTAAATTCTTTATTCTCTCAGATAGTCATTACATTTGGGCACTTGCATGCCTTTTTCAAATCATGCTGCGGCCATTGAAACAACTGTACACTTCAGATGTCAACTACCACAAAGTCATCGTCCATGCTGTCATTCTGGTAGCCCAGGTTGAGACTATCACTCAAGTGGTTCAGCTGCTGGCTCACGGTGCTCATGTTGTGGCTGGTCATGTTGTGGTCGGCACTCATGCTGTGGCTGGGGTAGTCGGCACTCATGCTGTGGTCGGCACTCATGTTGTGGTCGGCACTCATGCTGTGGTTGGGGTGGTCAGCAGTCATGTTGTGGCTGGGGTGGTGGTCAGCACTCATGCTGCGGCTGGGGTAGTCGGCGCTCATGTTGCTGGTCATGTTGTGGCTGGGGTGGTGGTCAGCACTCATGCTGCGGCTGGGGTAGTCGGCGCTCATGTTGCTGGTCATGTTGTGGCTGGGGTGGTGGTCAGCACTCATGCTGCGGCTGGGGTAGTCGGCGCTCATGCTGCGGTCAGCACTCATGTTGTGGTCGGCGCTCATGCTGCGGCTGGGGTAGTCGGCGCTCATGCTGCGGTCAGCACTCATGTTGTGGTCGGCGCTCATGCTGCGGCTGGGGTAGTCGGCGCTCATGCTGCGGTCGGCACTCATGTTGTGGCTGGTCATGTTGTAGCTGGGATGGTGGTCAGCACTCATGCTGCGGCTGGGGGAGTCGGCGCTCATGCTGCGGGCCGCCCTCATGTTGTG